CTGTTCTTTGTATTCATGAACAAAGTGATGCCATCTCTGGAGTTATTACCTTTCTTTATTACATTATAAGACAGAAGCAACTGGAAAAAAAAAAGAAGAGAAAGTGGTCAGGTGACTAATTTCAGTACTCGTTTTTCTGGTGAGACCTAGCTCAAGATATTTTAACAAATTAGCTTCCCGATTAGGTGGGCCTAGCTCGAGACTAATCGGATTTGGTCCCCGGGCACCTCCTCTTTTCCCATTTATTCTAAGGTCTTTCCATGAATCAAATATTCTTGTACCATAGAAGCCCTCTATCGCCATGTTTTAGACAATTTTTTCCCAAGTTTACTATCTGTGTACAAAAGAGACATTCATATGATGCAAGTTAATCGTACTCAGTCAGCCTTTAATTCTACTTCTAATAGAATAAATGAAGCTTGGAGAATAAGAGAAAAAAAACTATTTTAATATTGTTTATTTGTATTTTCTTTCCTCTTTTCTATGTATCATTATTGCCAACCGTACACATACTTAATGACATGCCACATGCGACATCATTTAGTAATAGTTTCTCAATAAATTCTTAACACATTTAGCAGTACTCGTTTTAATTTGCTTGAAATTTGCTATAACTCAATACTTAATGATAGTTTTCTACAAATCCCGAAGCCTTTTTTACTAGTGAAAGGGTGGGGAAGGGACATCAGCGCAACGTCTCTCGATGTGAGATGGAAAATGCTCACGACGCAAGCTAGTTAAAGTTTCACTCATAACATGACTTGAATTTGTGGCCTCATAAAAGACAGTGTTACCCCTTTGCCAACAGGTTCGAGTGTTACCCCTTTACCACTCGACTTCAGGATGTCCACAAATGTCTGATACTCAGTCCTAACGGCAGGAATATCTGAAACAATCAAAGTTGCTCGTCATAGTGGGGATTTCTGGAAGAGGATTCAGAAAACATTAACCTTATCACTTTGCTGATTAAAAGAAAAGAAATGCATGCCTTGGCTCAGGGTTTTAAACCGGTCCAATTTGGCCTATTTGGAAATTATTTCCAAGTTAGCTCCCTACAGGACGGACGGTGACACCATCTTTTCGGCCATTCTGAGGCCGCGTGCTACAGGGTGGCCGAGGGTGGGCGATGCATTGGTGCTGAGATCGTGCGCGGTGGGTGGCACGGAGAGAGAGAGAGAGAGAGAGAGAGAGAGAGCGAGCACAAACTCAAAGAAAACAAAGAGAGTGGGGCTCTGCAGTTGGGGGTAACAGCTGGGGTTGGGCAACAGAACTCACAATGGCCAAAGGTGTGGGGAAGTGTCCTACGACGGCAGGTGATGGAGGGTGTGGGATGTAAGAGTTTTTTTTTATGGGGTTACATTAATTGAGATTATAATTTACCATTTTATGGACTTGGTCTAATAAAGTAAGATATAAAAATACTTAATTAGTCTAATATGGCGCTGGCTAATGTAGGCCGAGTAGAGCCTAGCTTGTGGTAAGAGGGTCTGCGGCTGAAAACTCTATAAATAGTGTTCAAGTCTAGAGGTGGCCACGGTTCGGAACCGACCGATTCCGGTTCGGAACCGACTGGTTCCGGTTCGGAACCGGCGGTTCCGGTTCGTGGCCAAGTGTGAACCGGAACCGGCCGGTTCTGATTTTTTTTTTTTTTTTTTTCTTTTCCTTTTCCTTTTCTTTTTTTTTTTCTTCCTCCGCGGCCGGCCATAGCCGGGCCGCGCGGAGGTCTCGGCCTCGAGCGAGGCGGCCCTCGCCGGCGTCGGCGAGGCCGGCCTCGCCCGGCCCGAGCGAGGGCCGGCCTCGCTGACGCCGGCGAGGTCGAGCTCGCCGATTGCAGGCGAGGCCGAGCCTCGCCGGCTGCCGGGCGAGGCCGCCTCGCCCACCCGGGCGAGGGCGGCCGCGCCGACGCCCGGCGAGGGCCCCTCGCCCGACGCCGCGACCTCCGCGCGGCCCGCCATGGCCGGGCCATGGAGGCCATGGCTGCTGCTGCAGCAGCATGGCCTACAATGTAGGCTGTGCTGCAGCCTGCCTGCAGCTTTTTTTTTTTTTTTTTTTTTTTTTTTTTTTTTTTTTTCGCAGCGGTTCCGGGCCGGTTCAAATTTTTCTGGAACCGGAACCGGGCCCGTATGCCACGGGCCGGTTCCGGTTTCGAACCGCGGGCTCGGTCAACGGGCCGGGCCCGGGTTTGACCGGGCCGGTTCCGGTCCGGTTCCGGGCCAAAACCGGTCCGTGGCCACCTCTATTCAAGTCTCTCCTCTAACCCTAACATAAGGAACAGTAATAGAACGCTATTCGTTTAGGGCAGTCTCATTGAGCCAATGATACTGAGGATAATAGAGAAGAAGCATTTGTGCTTATGATCGTCGCTATTCCGTATCAAGAACGATAGATCCTAATTTGATGCTCAAAACCCTTTTTCTTGATTACTATGTTCTAGTTTCTAATTATGGATTTTGGTGTGCCGTCTTCGCGGCTTACATGTAGTATCAAGCCGCCATGTCTAGGTCTAAAACTTTCAGATTTGGCTCATTTTCGGAATTTTTATCCGGTGAAAATTAATTTTGATTACATTAACGGATAGTAGTCATCGAGACAAGAAATTTGATAGGTGGCGCGCCTCCGGGGGATGCCGCCACAAGCCCACGTGCATAACAACCCCAACGAGTGTGATGCACATGCTCGTGACGTCTGCGACTTGCTGACGTAGGTTGACTTGGGTGACCTGACCAGACCCGAGAACTTGACCCGCCAACCCAACTTCGGTTAACCGTTGACCGTACGGGTGAGACCGGTCAATTAGTCAGACCGATGAACGATCGGACCGGAGATCCAAACTGATTCGAGCACATGAGCTTTTTCTTATCCTTGGATTAGTGCTTGCAATGACAGCATCTCATTTTGGAACTTGAAACGTTAACCAGATTCCAGTGAGTTAGTGTGACACGAACGGGGGACATGCCTTGAGTCCTTGATGAACCAAATGGAACGGCCAGCGAAAGTGTGAGGATCTCCGAGTGCTCGGCTTCGACTGCCAAATACAATGGGGAACTTTCCTTCCTCGTTTGCCTGGTGCAGAGTACCAAGTGTCAAAGAGACCATTCACCATAGCTTTAGGGGTGAGTGGTTCCGATCCAACTTGGAACTTGCCTTGTCGAGACCGGTTCTCAGTTTTTGGAACATGGAACCTATCTTACATATCTTGAAACACAACTATCTAAAAAAGGTGCTCCTGAAAAGATAATTCCATCCACAACGAAAACCACAAACCAATTTTCTATTCAAACAGCTGAAATTATTTTTCAACTCATTTTTTAATTTTTTCCAAACAGAAGAAGACATTGCTATTTTCCGGAAAAATGATTTACTAGAAAATGTTTTCCAATTACATCTTGTTTGCACGTCAACATCGATGCTTCACTCAGATATGTCCTGGACACTAACGACCTACAAGATCTCTCTTTTACAGTTGTTATATGATTACTGAATGAATTCAAATAAGAAGAAGTAAAGGATCGGATGGATTTCCGATTAAGTTCTTAAACTAGACATGTGATGTCCTTCGGGAATGCGTCTAACGCACCAATTGAAAGTCTTGATATCAAAATGAAACGGCCAAGTACGAAATAGAATTAACATAATTAAATACCATATTCCAAATCGCTATGTGAATAGAAATGAACTACAAGCTTACTAAAATAATCAACGAATGTAACACCATTTAAAGAGAATAAATAATTTGGATAATATAGTAATTGCTTAAATATCCCACATTGCATGCTATATAGGTTATATACTCTTTATATACATGCGGTTGCTCTCCATCTATTGGTTTAAGATTTTGAGTCGGATATTCTAACATGGTACAAGAATCAGATTCTGCTCCACTCTACATATGCGTCTATCATCAAATTCCACCGTGTATGTGCGTCCATGGTCAAATTCCACAATGTTACACACTCTTTATAGACATGTGATTTTTGCTTTTAGATTGTACTTTCTAACAATCTCCATAATAATTTGCATCTCATGTGCTATGAAAATTTATTGACTATTGAAACTAGAGTTTACAGTTTTTCACTGTATTATTGTGTTAGGAAAACAACTGTACTTATCCAATTTAATATTGAGAAAATATCGATTCCAGTAGCTGCAAAGTAAAAATCGAAAATTTGAAGTATCCATACTGTGAGGACATCAATACATAAATTTATTGTTTATAATTTCATTAAACACAACTTTGGGGAGAATTATTAGAACAAAGAAAAAGACTAAAACTTTGAAATTTGTAAATTGGAATATAAACGATGATCACCCTTAACTCGAAATCCGAATTTGATCACGTTACTCAATCATGAATTAACATATAGATAACCATAGAACGTTGATTGCTAGGTCCTTAATTCTTCAAAATTACAAAGATTATTCTTGTTCAACAAGCTCAAAACGTAATTCCATAAAAATACACATTCCAAAATTACATGCACCAAAAGTAAGAAAGAATTATTAATAGAATAAATAAAAAGAAAAAAGAAAAAAGAAAGAAGAAGAAGAATATAAGCTAATAAACGGTAAATTAATAGGTTGATGTGAAAATATAAAAGAATTTAAAAGTACACTTAAATCTTAAGTTTGTTGGCAAATAGAAAAGCTTTTTTCTTTAATTAAATTTGAAAATAAAATGATAAACAGGAAAAAAGGAGGAAAAACTCAACTTCGTAAAAATATTATGTTCGTTCGGCAAGTGAAGGGTGAGAACATCTTTGGGAAAATGAAAAAAAAAAGGAAATCTTAAAATTGGAGGAGCAAGAGTTGGCGGCTCGATTGACATATGGTATTTTACGGTGGTGGATGCTTGTGGGTTCTCTCTTTGTATCCCGTGTCAATGCATTAGAAGATATATAGATATATATGGATGTATTAATAGGGAAACTGAGGAGAAAAGGACGGAAAAGAAAGGAAGAAAGAAAGAAAGAAAGAAAAAAAGTAGGAACTATCAAAGGGAATAGAGAAGACTCTGAATAGTTTCTAATTGAAAGAACCATTAATCATACAGAATACAAGTCCGATGACGTTTCGAGAACTGCCATGATTGGAATATACGACCCGCAGACTTTGACTATTGATTGGACCAAAGTCCGGATAGCAATGGACGATTCCCAGTTAAAATTGAATAAATGGACGGTTGCAAATTTTTTCCATAAAGAAGGGAAAATTAGTAACACAAAATCTGACAAATCCCCGGACTGCAGATGCCGATAGGGTCACGGCCAGATAGTAAAAGACCACAATGCGCATAGCAGACTTGGAGGATGGGAATATCAAGGCTGCTAAAACCCCGATGACCATCGCGAGGTAAAGGACTCCGACCGACAGAACAAGGCTCCCGAGCCAAGTAAGTTTGTTCACTGCTACGGTTACGGCGGCGAAGAACGCCACGGACATGCCGGTGAGAGCCATTAGCAGTAATGGCCCTGCCGAATGGCAAGCTAGCTCCGCAACGTAGAAGTCTCTACTGAGACCCCAGAGGAGGACTACGACCGCAAGGATGGAGCTGTACATGGCTAACGTGTTGGCAATCACGAAAATCTGAAACACTTCTTTGTGCAGGATGGTTGCCGTTCCTGGGTGGGGATCACTGGAAGCATTGTACCCGCCGGGCAACGTTACGCCCGCAGTGAACGTGACGGAGGCCACAAGGGCGGCCACTACCCATAGAGTATTAACCTGGTCCTTCATCCATTCAGCGGGAGATGATTTGCTCGCTCCAGCACATTCTTCTCTTGATGACAGAACGTCTCGACCATCGCTTCGCCGTACACCAGCGACAATCAAAATTGCACGTCCTAGTAACTGCAAATGTCAAATCAGAGAATTAGTTATCAATCCCGAGCGCATTAGATTCAGTTGAGAGTAAACACAGCCCACAACCAAAATTGCACTACCGCTGGATTTTTCATCGACAAGCTTCCGGATTCCATGGCCACATCCAGGGCGGTCAATCCATCATTGTTTACAAGCTGCAAGTCGCTTCTCTTGTCGCTCGTCAAGGAGCGCATTACGTCGCAATGGTTGTGCATCGATGCCAAATGGAGAGGGGTGTTTCCATGGACATCTTCCGAATTCACCAGCTTCTCGATGATGACGCGCTTGCTGCGTGCCTTGAGTATCTTTTGCACCATGTGGTCGTTCCCGGCCTTGGCTGCAACGTGAAGAATGTTCTGACCCTCATTGTTTTTTATATCTGCCAGGTCAGGCCACGTGTTGTCTAGTAACGTTTCGAATGTCGAGAAGCTGCTGCCTTCGCAAGCGATGTGAATCGGGTAGGAGACGTTCTTGTCTGTTTGAAGGGCGAGATAAGGGCATTTCCTCAGCAGGACCTTCGCTTGCCGAAAATACCCAACCGATGCTGCTGCGTGCAGTGGTGTCCCCCCGTCTTCACCGCGCACATGAAGTAACTTCGGCAGCCGGTCTATAAATATTCTCAATAAACCTGTGATATTATAGGTCATACTCGTTTAAATAACTGTTGCTGTTAGTTCCTGCAGTGTTATTTGCTGTTTTGACCAAAAGCTATTATCAAGCTTTCTCTCCAAATTGGACGAATATGAATTTAGAAAAAGAGCGAAAAGAGCAGTGCAATTCACTTACATCTATGCATTCATGGACTAGAACGACGAACGACGCATAAAAAGTATCTATTACCTAATGTCACATCAAATGTAGCCAAAACTGGTGACATGCCCTCGATCTTTACTGCGTAAGCTTCATCTCGAGCAAATTCTTGCACGAGAAGCTCAAGAATCTTCCAGCCCACCCCCTCGGGATTTGAATCACAAATCTTGCAGATTTCGACTGCCAGATACAACGGAGATTTACCATCCTTGTTCTTCCAGTATTTGATTTCCGAGTTTGCTCCCCGGCGTATCAGCAGTTCTGTCGCCTTTGAGCTTCCATTTCGAACGGCGACATGGAGTGGAGTGTCCTCCGAGGAGTTTTTTCGGGTCACGAGGTAAGGGAAATGATCGAGAATGAGCTCAATGAGGTCATCTTTCCCCGAGGTTGCTGCAACATGAAGCAATGAATTTCTGGAGGAGGCGACTTGGTCGAAGATAAGCGACAAAGCTAGTTTCCTTGACTTCGACACATTTTCTAATGCACCGATGAATTCCTCGACGTCCCCTTCTTTCGTGGCTTCATATAGGTAACGATCCATAATTTTGTTCAACTCACCAGCTCCGAACTGTTGTTGGTTATCTGGAGTCGGGACGTATCTCGCCTTCAAAGCTTCAAGCCTTTCGTTTTGGGTTGCCCATATTTCACTTCGGTGATCCATTTCGGACTGCAGGAGCTTTTTTTTGGGGGGGATCTCTTCCCCCCTTATGTTGTAAGAATGCAAAAAGGAAGAGAGCACTCGCCCTTATAGAGGTCAAGTTTTCACATGAACCCAGCAGCCGATGAGACTCACCTCGGCCAATGTCATTGACTTTTGACCCAACAGTCAATTAGTGATCACCCCAAGAAATTGTGAAGTCTTTGTCCAACAAACCATGTCTTCACCCTATCCAAAAACAGTGAGACTTCTTTTTTTATCAAAAGAAAATTATATTCATTGCTCAAAATAATACATAAGAAGTACATAAACTTTCATGATAAAACAAATCAATAAAACAAGTTTGTTAAAGAAGAACGCAAGTTTCAATATAATTTATACGCTATGATTGATTCTGACCTTTTCATCGTTAATAAAACAAATCTATCCTGTACTGTTTTGATCAATTCAGGGAATATCATTGATTCACTTTGAATAATGGTGGCCCCAGTACAAAAAGGAGCTTCACTAATTGATGAAAATCAATCCACTAAACAAAAGAATTGGGAATAATAATAAAACACCATCATAAATGAATCACAGGAGAGTTGCTTTAATGAAAGTGAGTTTTGCCACGTTTTTTGATTGACAATATGCCAAAGCCATTATATCGGCCGACAAAAAAAATCTTGGTTGCTTTAGTATAAATATGACAGTGACTTTGCCATTCAAAAAGAGATTCTTGTCATGATAAATATCGTGTTTTTCTAAAAAGTACAAAAAAAAAGATATGAGACCTGGGTCATCGAAAGTTAATTTATTTGTGATAATGATTTGATTTTTGTTTCTTTCTTAATAAAGTAAAAAGTAGGGATGAGCAACACGTACTACCCTAATCAGCCAGTTCTAGGTGGTTCCCAAGGGCGCATGTTGGGTTCCCGATTCTATAAAATTGAAACCGGTGATTTTCGGTCCGGTTCTCGGGAACCGGACCTACCGCACCGATGGGCAAATTGAACTCAAATGTAATTTTAATGAGATGCCTTTCTAGTGTTTCTAAACTATAAAATCGTATCCTTTATGAGCTGCGAGTTTCCCTGTAGTTGTATAGTTCGAGACAATCTGTTGGAGGAACTTGACCTCTCATGGAGGACACTTGGGTTTTTGCAAGTCTTGAGTGGAAGGTGCTGGGTAATATTAGTTGGCATGCAGTAAGTGTTCTTGTTTGAGTCGTGCGTGGAGGAAGCTTGAGGAATGAAAGATCCTTAGCATCTGGTTGCAGGACAGCATCCACGTGCTGTTTTTTCAATGGATACAAAAGGTGCAGTGCACTCAACATGTAACGGACTGTTTGGTGCCACTGGAGACCATAAGTGATCATGGTATTTTTAGACCTTCTGGGCTGAATAAGCTTTTTTGTGATTTTATCAGCATTTTATTCTAAGTTATGTCTGAGTTCTTCCTCTTATTGCTCAAAACGAAAACCGGCGTCTCCTCTTGAAGTGCCATAGATTTAACTTCTTTGTAATATCCATCAGTGTATTTCGCTGAAAATGTAGCTACTTATTGTTAATTCATTGGTTCCATTAGACTGCCCGGGAATCGGACCAGACCAGTCAGTCCGAATAGGAAGCTAATAGGGGAGACCCACAATGGATAAATGGTCACAAAATTTTGTTGGGAAGTATTTAGCCAAAGTAGGAGTGGAACAAGCGTGGAAATTTATGGTCGCCTTTTGGAAAAAAGCAAAAGCAAAGACAAAAGGAAAAGGAAAAAAGATGGAAAATTGGGGCTTTATATTACACTTTTCCAGTCATATTGTTGGGTTTGGTGCGAATGCAATTTGATCTTTTGTGATTTTTTTTGTTTTTTTTTCAAGTTAGTGGTTTTTCTTTTTAACTTTGAACAGTTGCTTCTTGTTCTCGTGATTAGTGTGTCTTGATGGTGGTAGTGGAGAAAATGTTGAGTGACTGAGATTTGTTGAAAGATATAAATTTGTTACATTTTAATTCAACGATACCTAGTGGGGAGTATAACCTGAACCTACTAATGACCATAACAGTGAGAGTATAGTGCAAAGGATTGGCCATTGGATGCTTCAAGAATGAGATAGCTTCTCATATTGGACACAATCATACATTTATCTACCTTGTCCATGATGTGTCAAAGGCCTTTCGTATCAATGGACGTTATTGACATTCAATTTGCAATATCCCAATTGCTTCTTGAATATTGACTGGATCGTAAGTGTTGATTTCTATTTGTGCCACTTTAGCAGTTACGCCCGTAATAAAATGAGGAAGGATTTGGTTTTTTTGTCACTTTGAATTTTCCTGTGAACATTTAATTTCATTGCTTTTATTCTTTGAAAGCATTATTTGATTTTTCTGCTTAGAGATTGCATTGTATTCCTCTGGGACGACAATAGCACTACCGGTAATTCAACCTTGTGCGCCTGAAATTCCCCCAAAATTATTCATGTCCCATCACAATTTCAGGAATTTAATAAAACTCTTTGCAAAGTCGACAACTGTCGCATCCAACTCTTCTTCGGCATCCATTGGAAAAGAAATTCTTAAGAAACAAAACAAACGAACTTCTGCAGAGAATGTGGTAGAAAAAGAACAAGAACATTTTGAGCTTACCACCACCAGAGGAGCTTTTCAAATGGTGAGGTTGAAACAAGAATATGAATTGGTTTCTTTTGGACAATGCGAGAGTACTCGATGGTTGATGCTCAACTAATCGTATCAATGGGCGGAGGATTCCCGAGCACGGATATTGCGTCTGACGGGGTAGAGAATGTGTGAAACTTTTTCCTTGATTATTACGGTTGACACCTGAATTCTTGCCAATAAGTTAAATATACATTTTTGTACTAAAAAAATAATTAAAAATTAAAAAAATGAAAAGACTTCAACCCATTGGACCAAAAGGGCAGCCCACTAAAATCGGGTCAGGCCCACTACTCCGGTTCAGTTTAATCCAATTTGCAAGCAATCACCTCAGCCCACGAAAAATAAAACTAGGCCCATATTGAATAACAAGATGATGGAGCGAGCGACCACGAGCTCTCAGGATTGAAGCTGGAAGAACAGACCAAGAAATTACAGGGCCTCAAGAACTCATCAATGGCGGTTAGGAACAGCAACAAACGGAACGAACTCGATGATTATGAAATCCATCAACCAAGTGCCACACCTACCTGTAGGGGTGTCAACGGGTCGGGTCGGGTCGGGTTTTCATGATACCCTACCCGACCCGAAACAAATGAATATATATATGCTTGGCCCGACCCAAAACAAGACCCGAACATGATATAATCGCACAATCGGGTCGGGTTCGGGTCGGGTCGGTTCGGGTTCGGGTTTAGAGGTTTAGTAATTATTATTGAAATGATACAAAACATAGAACAGAAGGGGGCTAAGTACATTGATAAGGCTTCGTTGACAAAACAATAAGCCCAACAAGGGTGAGATGAGTCGGTATATTTATTGGCTTAACTAATAGGCAGAGAGCTCTCAAGCCTCAACCACACTTCCATAACAAAAGTTCAACTAACGCTCATAACGCAGAAGCAGCGATTCATGCTGCATTGACCTTCGGCTCCCATCCGGCGACCACATGCTCCTTCGCTGGCTTGGTCTTTACGAAGGACTCCCGAGCAAACAGCAGCTGCAAAAACAAAAGAAACACCAATTGTTTTTTAGAGTGTCCACATGAACCTGTCTATTTTCTACTCCAAGTAGCTGCATAAATAAGCTAGAGAAGCAATTGACAAGACCTGGACAACGATCGAGAAACAAACAACATCGTTTGGGAAAACACAAATGGAAATTCATTGAGAAAGGCTGTCAAGAATTAGCCTAACACACTTAAAAGAGCTAGATAACTCAATCTTTATTATGATTATACAATGCCTGTCCTGCATCAAGAACTGCGATGATGAGTGACCCATTGGAGATGATATTTCTGAGGGGGTCAAGTAATCACCAAGGCATTGCCATATAGTAACCACTACAATAATACAAGTAAATTTGCAAACTCTGTTCAAGATACAAGTAAATTTGCAATAAGAATAAAAAAAATTGGTTTAGCAAGTACCAATTTCCAACTTCATCAATCATCAAGAGAAACCGATATCGAGTTCGGCTCCATAATTGTAGTTGAATACTCTGCATTAAATTCACAATCAAAATGAGAACTTAAGTATCCATTGTAATATAGAAAAGAACAAATATTCCACAATTATGTTTTCTGACCTGACTCAAAATTTTCTTGTTCTTCTAAGTCATCCTCAATTGAAAGTGAAAGTGGAGAGGATCGTAGCCAATCTTGAGCACATATAAGACCCTCCACCATTCTCGGGGTCAAGGAGCTACGAAAGACATCGAGTACACGACCTCCCGTGCTGAATGCGGCCTCTGATGCTACAGTCGAGACCGGTACGGCCAAAATATCTCGAGCAATGGAAGAGAGGATAGGATATCTTGAAGAATTAACTTTCCACCAAGTTAAGATATCAAAGTCGGGGCTATAACGTTCACATCCTTCCTCCAAATATTTATCCAATTCAGATTTTTCTTCCAAAATTTGTTGTCCCGTTTGGCTAAGATACTTTGCAGTCATAAAGTCCGCACCAACCACTGGAGACTTTGACACATTTACTGTTCTTGTACCCTTTAATCTCAAGTTGCCTTGGGGGCATTTACCAGTGCGGTATTGCTCGTACAATGATGTCAGCGATGATGTTACCTTATCACATAAAATTTCTGCTTGCTTGCTCTCATAAACATCATTAATCAACTACTTCACATATTCCCACTTATGTCGAGGGTCAAGTATGCAAGCAATGAACAAATTAAGATTGATATTGTTCACATTGCCATAATACTTATTGAATTTGGTCTTCATTCTTTTAGCAATTTCTTGCAAACTTTTATCCTCATTCTCACAATATTCATTAATCATCCCAAAAAGCCCATAGACATCCTTTGCCAAATCATTACTAGTGACATAAGAAGAACTCGAAACTTTTGAAGTCGTATCAAAGAACAACTTCAGGAAAGGAAAAAGGTGACTAGCATAATCCCAATCATCACTAGTAGGCAACCCTTTCGCCTTGGACAGTTCTTCAACAAATTTGCTATCTTGAATTTCCAATAAGAAAAAAGCTTTTTGAAACTTCAAAGCCGCCTCCAGCATCATATATGTCGAGTTCCAACGAGTCTCCACATCCAAACATACAAGACTCTTGGACTCAATATTCTCTAGTTCAACACAATCCTTAAACCGCCTCAACCTCCCAGGAGAAGACCTCACATAACGTACAGCCGAACGTATTCTAACAATGGAATCATTTATGTCTTTTAACCCCTCTCTCACAATCAAACTCAATATATGAGCAAAACACCTCATGTGGAGTAATTCACCTTTCAATACCAGAGTGTTCCAAGAATTAAGTCTTCTTTTCAAGTATTGAATTCCCAAATCATTTGAACTTGCATTATCCACGGTAATGGAAAAAATACTTTGAATCCCCCAACCAGTCAAACATTTTTCAACAACCGCCTTTCCTATTATCTCGGCAGAATGACCCCGGATTTGACAAAAATTTAGGGTTTTCTTCTGCAACTTCCAATCAGCATCAACAAAATGAGCAGTGAGAGACATATAAGTCAAATTTTGACAAGAGGTCCATGTGTCGGTCGTCAAACAAACTCTAGGACATGTGTTGGCAAAATATTTCATCAATTTTCTTCTTTCCTCCATGTACAACGCATAACAATCACTCCTCAACGTGTTACGTGTAGGGAGTGAGAACTTTGGCTGGATTCTATACACAAATCGCCGAAAACCCTCATTTTCTACAAACTTAAAGGGCAATTCACCAAGAATGAACATGGTCGCTAGTTCTTTTCTACTAGCATCTTGGTCAAATTTCCATGGTGAACTACCAACCCCAACAGGTTGACCCGAGGCATTTTTTTGCCTTTTCTCGATGTTTGCATATGGATATTCCTTACATCTATCTAAATGATGATGCATTGAACTAGTCCCTTGAGTACTAGAACAACCAATGTGGACCCCGCAATATAAACATTCAGCCTTTTCTTGATTCTTGTCTATACATGGAATCCTTTTAAAGTGATCCCACATAATGGATCTCTTCCTTCTATTTGTGAGGCTAGAATCCGTCGACGAAGACATCTAGCAATCAGCAAAAATAATTAACATTCCAAAATCAACAAAAACCATCATTGCCATAGAAAGTTGACATAGTAAAGTAAAGTCTATCTCAAAAGCAAGCATTAACAACTTTGTCATATACAAGAAGTGACTCAGAAAGCTGTCATGGATACAAAAAATTAGATGAAATTCAAACATAGAGGCATCACGAGCATAGCAAATTGGTAGGCCACTGCGACATGAATTACATACCTATAAGCAGTGCTGGACGTCAAACTATCAGATCAATGACTTAGAACCCCTGCTTTCAAATCCACCACTATCGTCACAAGAGTCTGATTGTAAACAGCTTTATGATCCTTGGACCTCACTCAAAGTTCTTCATTTACCAGTTGAGAAAATTTCAGATTGAAAATGCAGTCACAAGTTCATTCAATTAGAAGCAATGAAACAAGTTTCTTATGTCTCTAGCAAGCTATTACAACAAATCAAGTGAGAGGAACACTTTAAGGAAACATCAACTCAAAACAATATTTCAGTATATTGCTACCGTCCTTCATGAACTTAAAGAACTATATATGTTCAATGCAATGCGATGAAAGGGGAATAAGCAAACAACATAAGGCTCCTCTTTCCCAAAAGCTATTCCACTCTAACCTTCAAGCTACAGTCCATCACTCAACTGGAGAAAAGCTGACTAGCTGACAGTCAATCACTGTGAGCATGAAACAGTATGTTTGTCTACCCAAGGAAGATAATACTGAACTCTGCAATCTAAATCAATAAACATTTGACGAGCGGTAGTAACTGATGACGCATGCTACAAGTATAGTACTTCAATAAGTTGGAGGACACAACATTCATGGAAAGTAAAGTCTTAAACCCACCTCTCATACGCACAGACAGGGAAATTTCACAAATAGATGTCAATTTGGACTAGAAGCAAAGAAGAAATGTCGACTTTTAAAAAGAATGTACTTGTGTTCAATATGAAGAGATCATTATAATATACTTCATCCTCATCATCAGGAGATTTTCCATACCCACCAAATATGAGCAGCCTTCTACACACAAGTGCTGCACTATGACCCTGCCTTGCCTCCGGTGCCTCTCCCCTTGTAATTGGTGATATCCATGTATGAGAAGCTATGTAACATATTCGTGAGCTACATTAAAAAGAGCCCAACTTCTGCTGTTGCAAGTATAATGAAAAGATGCACAGATTATTAGTCGACAAGACTGTATGGCCACCAGGGGCAAAAGGAGAAGGTAAATGTGACTTACGAGTGTCCAGTATATGCAAATCCACGAGAGGGTTCGTCCATCCGTCCCACCAAACACAAACAAATTGTCACCAACATTAGTAAAACTATGGCCGTCCCTTGGAGCAGGTGGTGTGCCTTTTATTGTGGGTTGGCTCCATGTTTGCTCCACTGCGATTCAGAAAAAACTAATTATCAATTAAAAAGAGGAAAATCACAACATAAGGAGACAACCAATGGCAGATTCATATCAGCAACCATATTCCAGTAGTAGCATTGATCCAGCGAAACCCTAGACCAACGACACCCTAGACCAGCGCGAAGCGAAAGTACGGAAGAGAGGGAGATGGGGACCTTGACAGCGGAGAGGGAGCTCTCGCCGCAGCTATCGCGAAACCCACCACGGAATTCGCTTCACATCGAACAGCAAACCCGCACCCATCAGCGATAAACCCACAATTTGCTATTGGAAAAGCGAAACTTCGAAAGACCCACAATTCAGAATCCGCTACCTGACGTAGCGGTTGGCGACGCACGATGGACCCGCTTTCATTCACGAAATCGGGAGGGAGTTAGGGTTTGCGGGGACTGACCTGGTTTGAGCTCGATGCCTGGGAGGGGATGACGATGACGGTGGATCGAGGGAGGTGGCGCAAGCCAGACTGGGGAGGAGACGAGATCCGCTAGAAAGAGAAAGCGGAGCTATGGAAGAAGATGATAGGTTTCGGGTGGGCTTGGCCCTTGAGAGCAAGAAGATCAAATGGTTCTTGTTTGTTTCCAGTAGGCTTGTTTCGGGCAGGCTCGGGTAGATCCAAAACAAGTTGAAGTCTTGTTTATATTATTACCCAAACAAGTTAAGGTCCAACCCGACCCAATATAAAAATTTCATGTTTGGATCGTGTTTGAGCGGGTACTTTTGACACCCCTACCTACCTGGCCCTTTCGTATCCGTTTAAATCTAAATATGACTTCGATACCTTCCTGATTTGCCTTTTTGTCTCTGTTTCGTTTTAATTTCTTCCGTTCTGTCGCCATCTTCTAAATTCCATTGCCATTGGTTGCACTGTGGAGGGGGAATCAAGTTTGCAAGGAAGGTTTTTGATGGCATGACGAAGCTGGACTCTGTTCCGAGGAGTACCTGTTCAAGATGCAGATAATCTGTGACTCAGCGGTGGTGACCTCGAGCTTTGGACTAGTGACCAAGCGAGAGCAGGTCTCTCCAAAATGCAAGTTCAAAGAAGGTTGCGGACCGTGTTGCTCTTCATGCTGATGATACCCAAACTCATTCAACACGTTAAGAACTGCTAGCTGTCCTCTGTCCTTGTCGCTGAATCTCGCTGGCGGGCGCCTCCACTACCACGCCGCAGCACCACCAGTCACGCTTCTGCCATGTGTGCGCAATCTCCGCCACTCCTACCAGGTTATTCCTATTCCCATTGACCTTTAGAATCGATTGCATGTTCAGGTCTTCTTTACTGCTTTGTGGGTTTCGTCAAACCGAGTCATAGGAAAGAATTTACTTATGGACACCCTTCTTCTTAATCTACATTATGCTGATTCAAACATCCATAGCTTTTGTTACTCTTAAGAAGAAATTTAGGAATAGGCTTGGATAAGATGTGCAGGGAGATTCTCGTTTGGAATGGTTTGCTCTTCTCTCGGTTACATGGGGTCTCATTTTTAGAACGTTATGCTGCTGCTCGTTGTTTGCTTGTTGTTAAGTTGGTTGTGGGGATAAATAATCTAATCATGGACTTCTCCCTTTATTTCCATTTGCAGCTGTGCAGGGTCTAGAAGATTGATCTTTCATAATCGATTTTCTCAGGCGTTTTTGGTGCTGAAGTTTTTTGTTTTGTGGTAACATACAGATCTTAATGTTTTCTTGTTGCATAGTGCAATTTGCACAACTGCGCTGTGGTGTCCCTCTCCAATTTTTTTGTACATATTGCTAACATAGATTCGTCATTATCTTGAAGGCATGGACGTCATAATATCCACTTGAAAAAGGAGATTGGATCGAGCAGCTTCTTTCCTCAAAGTATGCCTTTTTCTTTTTATTAAAAAAAAAGGGTTCTGCAAATCAAGGTTTGACTCGTGTTAAATGGCTAGCTACTTGCATTCGTTCTCTTCTGGACTGCTAGTACTTATGTCCTCAATTTGGTAATTACTGCCCCCAATATGAAGTAGTAAAATGATATGGAGATTTGAGAAACCTCTTGGTTAATGGCATCATCACGTAATAAATAAATAAAAACGATAAAATGAAAAGTCACAAAACAGATATTTTGTAAGATTTGTAATCTTAAGAATGTAAAATATTAAGGATGCATTCAGTGATTAGGTATTAGAATAGTGAACAAATCGGGTCACATTGTAAGAGTGAATAAACATGATAGTTGTTGGAACGGTAAGGATGCCGATCATCCTAATCCCAATATAGTAGGAGATTATGCTGGGTTGTGCGGTAGTTGTAGTTACCAAATTAATGACTGTAATCCATTGTATTGCTCTCTATTAAAGGATATTCAATCCTCCCAAAAATAATAGATGAATTTGAGGATTTACTATTGTGGATGTAAGCTTCCAAGGGATTATATTCTTGGTCATTTGAATTTTGGGAAGAATTATCATTACGATGAAAAAACCAATAACTGTGAAATTTGTAAAATGGAATATATAGAAATTTTTGCAATTCAAAGAAATTAAACAATAATGACCTCTTTGAAGTTTGAAAAGATAAGTGTAATGCTTGAACCCGAAATCCGAATTCGACCCAGTTATTCAATCACTACTTATCACAAATAGCAATAAAAAGTTAACGCAAGGTCCTCAATTCCTCAAATTACAAAGATTATTCCTATTCAACATGCCCAAAACCTAAATCCATAAAATTACACATTGCAAAATTACACACACCAAAATTAAGAAAAATCGTTAACGACATTAATAAAAGCAAAAGGAAAAAGAATATAAACTAATAATTGGCACATTAATAGATTGGCATGAAAATATAAAATAAATTAAAAGTGCACTTATCTGCTTAAAAAACAAAGTTGAATTTTTTTTTGTCTTTATCTAGATTTAAAAATAATAAAATAAAGAGGAAAAAAAAAGGAAAAAAATTAAGCTACGTAAAATCTTATATTTGTTTGAGAAATGAAAGGGGAGAACACTTTAAAAAAATGAAAAATAAATAAATAAATGGAGGCTCAAGAGTTGGCTACTCGATTGACACGTGGCGTTTTGCAGTGAACACTCGTGGGTTTCTCTTTTGGTATTCCGCGTTAATGTATTAAGAGATATATAGATAGGAAATGGGAAAAAAAAAAAAGAAAAGCAAACGAGTGGGAACTCTCTTTTTATCATAAGGAATCGATAGAAGGTTGTAAAGAGTTTTTATAGGAAAGAATTAATCGGACACAATAGAAGATTCGCAATAAATAGATGATGAATATATAGTCTTATGAAGTTTTGAGAAGGACTGTCATAATTGAAATATACGACGGAGCAGAATAATGTCCCATATGCATCGAATTGCAAGATGGATTTGCAGTAAAAAGGAAAGTTGCAAGTAGTAGTCTGCTAGAGCAAAGATTGATCAAGTGGTCAATAATCATTCCCACACCCTCTTTATTATACACTTAAATGGTTGTAATTGATGCTAAAATATTCAAAGGAGAAAATCACTTCGAAACACTTGTTGACACAAGGATGGCAAGAAAAAACGCTCTGACAAGCAAGTGCCAGATACTTTTCAACTGAAAACAATCATGTTTTTTCTGCGCATTCCCACAAAATTAAGATTGACCTGACACAATCTATGCAGGTGAATCAACTGAAATTGTCATGACATCCGCTCCCCACAACTATAGGATCTACAAATAGATAAACGGATGTTGAAATCGGCAATGGCTTTCAGACTTCTTCGTTGCGGATAGTTCGTAGCTATGCTTCTTCTTCGGCCCCTGTCTAGGATGCCTCAACTAGGATTTGGACTTGTTAGTGAGAGAATTCGTAGTTAACTTGTATTACCCATGGTACAGTGCAAAAGTATATACAAGGTATTGCTCAACAAAAAGGAAAAAGAAAAAAATCCAATAATTATTCATAATTAATAGAAGAGATACGTCCAAGCCGGCTGGTTCTTGTATCTTAAACGATGGACCGTATATTTTGGTAGGGAAACAAGCATATAGCAAAAGGGACACAATACGCATAGCAGTCTTGGAGAATGGGAATATCAAGGCTGCTAAAACCATTATTAGCATCACAAGGAAAAAGACTGCGGTGGACAGAACAAGGAAAGCGAGCCAAGCAAGTTTGCTCACTGCTACAGTTACACCTGCCAAAAATGCCACTGACATGCCAGTGAGTGACATCAACAATAATGGCCCTGCTGTGAGGTAAGCTTGTTCTGCTAGGTAGAAATCACTGATATGACCCCAAAGGAGGACTACGACCGCAAGGATGGAGCTGTACATGGCTAACATGTTGAAAATTACGAAAACCTGAAATTCTCTGTTGTGCAGCATGGTCGCCGTTCCTGGGCGTGGATCACTAGATTGATTATATCCACCGGGCAAGGTGAAGCCGGCGGCGAATGTGACGGTGGCCACAAGGGTGGCCACTAGCAATCGAGTGTTGATCGGGTCCTTCATCCATTGGGCCTGTTCTCCTGGTGACCGAGCATCTCGGCCTTTGCTTCGCGGTACACCCGCGGTAATCAAAATTGCACGCCCTAGTAACTGCAAATGTCAAATCGGAGAATTAGTCATCAATTATGAGCAGACTAGATTCAGTTAACAGTAAGCACGGCCGGCAGTCAAAATTACACTACCGCTGAATATTTAGTCGACAAGCTTCCAGATTGCATGACTGCATCCAGGGCGGTCAACTTGTCGTTGTTCAGAAGCCCCAAGTCACTTCTTTCATCCCTCGTCAAAT